TACTACTACTACTACCACCACCACTACCACTACCACTACCACTACTACTACTACTACTAGTACTACTACTACTACTAGTACTACTAGTACTACTAGTACTACTAGTACTACTAGTACTACTACTACTACTACTACTACTAGTACTACTACTACCACCACCATCAGTACTACCACTAGTAGTAGTAGTAGTGGTGGTGGTGGTGGTGGTAGTAGTAGTGGTGGTAGTAGTAGTAGTGGTAGTAGTCGTCGTAGTAGTCGTAGTAGTAGTCGTAGTAGTAGTCGTAGTCGTAGTCGTAGTCATAGTAGTAGTAGTAGTAGTAGCAGTAGTAGTAGTAGTGGCACTGGTACTAGTACTACTAGTACTACTAGTACTACTAGTACTACTAGTACGACTAGTGCCACTAGTGCCACTAGTGCCGCTACTACTACTGCTACTACTACTGCTAGTACTACTGCTAGTACTACCACTCTTACCACTACCACTACTACCACTACCACTACTACTACTACCACTACTACTACTACCACTACGAGTACTACCACTACGAGTACTAGTACTAGTACTACTACTACTACCACTACTACTACTACTTCTACTACCACTCCTACCACTACTACCACTACTACCACTACTACCACTACTACCACTACTACCACTACTACCACTCCTTCCACTACCACCACAGCCGCCGCCGCCACCACCATCACCACCACCACGACTACTACTACTACTACTACTACTGCAACTACGACTACTACTACTACTACTACTAGTACAACAGCAACTACTACTACTTCTACTACTACTACTACTACTAGTACTAGTACTACTAGTACTACTAGTACTAGTACTACTAGTACTACTAGTACTAGTAGTACTACTAGTACTACTAGTACTAGTACTACTAGTACTACTAGTACTACTAGTACTAGTAGTATACTAGTACAACAACAACTGCTACTACTGCTACTACTAGTACTACTAGTACTACTAGTACTACTAGTACTACTAGTACTACTAGTACTACTAGTACTACTAGTACTACTAGTACTACTAGTACTTCTAGTACTACTAGTACTACTAGTACTACTAGTACTACTAGTACTACTAGTACTACTAGTACTACTAGTACTACTAGTACTACTAGTACTACTAGTACTACTAGCACTACTAGTACTACTAGTACTACTAGTACCACTAGTACTACTACTACTACTGCTGCTGCTGCTGCTGCTGCTGCTAGTACTACTACTGCGATATATTTTTTTGACGCGGATATTTTTTTTGATCTAGGTTTGCAGCACGAAACGCATGAGGTCTCACACAGTGGCGCATATATATTTTTTTAAATGCGTGCTGGATATTTTTTTTGATGCATATATATTTTTTGATACGTGATGGATATTTTTTTTGACGCATATATATATATATATATGTATATATATGTATATATATATATGTATATAATGTATATATATATATATTTGATACGTGTCTCCTAAATTGAAACCCTAAATGAAACCCCAAAGAAAACCCTAACTGAAACCCACTTGAACGTTTAGAAATCGTGAAAAGAAATCCTGATAAGAAACCCTGGAATGAAACCCTAAAGAAAACTTATATAAATGAACTGCTGAATGAAACCTTAAATTGAAACCCTAAAGACACCTTAAATGAAACCCTAAAAAAACTCTAAATGAAACCCGAAAGAAACCTTATATGAGACCCTAAAAGAAACCCTAAATGAAACCCTGAAGAAACCCTAAATGACACCCTAAATGAAACTCTAAAGGAACCCTAAAGGAACCCACTTGAGCGTTTAGAAATCGTGAAAAAAAATCCTGGAATGAAACCCTAAAGAAAACTCAAATGAACTCCTGAATGAAACCCTCAAGTGAAACCCGAAAGAAACCCCAAATGAAACCCTAGAGAAACCCCAAGTAACTCCAAATGAAACCCTAAAAAAACCTTAAATGAGACCCTAAATGGAACCCTAAATGAGAGCCTAAATGGAACCCTAAATGAAACCCTAAATGAAACCCTAAAAGAAACCTTGAATGAAACCCTACTTTAAAGCCTAAAGAACCCTCAAGAGACCCACATGAACGTTTGAAGCACCAAAATGTAGCAAATACCATGCAAATCAGAAGATCAGAGGTTGAAATGCAAAAATATGACACATACCATGCAAAATGGAAGGCAAACATGGCCAAATGTCGCAAATAGCATGCAAAATGCAAAGTGACCATGCCAAAATGTAGCAAATACCATGCAAAATGACAGGTTCTAGTTCCAAACTGTTGCAAATACAAGGCAAATGGTATCGGGAAAGAAATCCAAAAAAAAACAAAACCTGAGGCAAAAAAAATCCGAGAACTATTCTACACCCAATATTTTCATGACTTTAAAAGATCCACTCCCTGCCGAACGAAAAAACATATGGTTGTTCGATTCCCATTTGACGGATTTTCATGGTTAAGGATCTTCCCTTTTTTATATCATACCCCAATTTTGCCGGTTACATCAGCATTTATAGCCATTTCCTACCCTTCTCCATTAAACATACAAACAGCTGTGGAAAACCGACCATGAATCATTACGAACGGGCTTCCCCACGGCTTTTCCACTCGATTTTCGTAGATGCATGATCAAACCCTTTCACGTACTGTTTTAGGGGGTTGCAGATTTATACCCTGTATTATTGTCATTTTACAGAACAAATCCATTATTATACCCTTGACATATTGTTTGAGGGGGGTGGCATACTTATATCATGTTATTGTCTTATTTGTGCCCTCCATTGAAGTTGATGAGAGAGATGTGTAAACTGCGGTAAAAATGATAGATTATGTCATCTTGGGCGAATGTTAGGTTCTGCGGTTAACAGCTAATTAAAAGCTAATTAGAATCCCATTAATATCCTATATATTATTCTTGTATGTTTACCCCATTTCGCACAATGGCCACGGCCGTCTTTACGTCAGGACATGGTGGAACTGGCCGTGTTGTGCGATCGCATGGACAACGATGGGAGCGGCGCCTTGTCCCTGCAGGAGATGCTGGATGGCTTCGACAATGACAGCGGCTTTCAGACCGTGATGCAGCGCATGGACATCGAAACTGGGAATTTTCGATTGGGATGATGAGATGCCATGTATATGTAAATATGATGGAAGAAAGTATCAATTACCCTATGCCCACACATCTATCGATCTATCGATCTATCGATCTATCGATCTATCGATCTATCTATCTATCTATCCAACTTTCTATCTATGTAACTTTCTACCTATGTAACTTTCTATCTATCTAACTTTCTATCTATCTAACTTTCTATCTAACTATCTATCTATCTATCTATCTGTCTATCTGTATATATATTTATACATATACATGTGTATAGATGTAAACCCATTACATTTCATTGCATTGCATCACATTAAATTATATTCATAGCACCACGCAATATACATTACAGTACACTGCACTACACTACATTACATGACACTACACTTCATTGCAGTTTATTACAGTTCACTAATGCTATATTGAACTACATTACACGAAAATACACTACACTACATTACATTACATTACATCAAATTACATTACATTACATTACATTACGCTGCCTTAAATTACATGAATTACATCAATTACATTAATTAGATTAGTTAGATTAATCAGATTAAGTAGATTAATTAGATTAATTAAATTAATTACATTAATTAGATTAGTTACATTAATTACATCAGTGAGATTAATTAGATTAATTACATTAATTAGAATAATTACATTGATTACGTTAACTACATGAAGTACATTAAGTACATCAAGTCAGTACACAATGCTACACGACAAGACACGACACGACACAACACGGCACGACACGACATACCTACATGCCTACCTACCTACCTACCTACCTACCTACCTACATACGAACAGCCGTACGGACGTACGTACGTACGGTTACTTTCATGATACGAATGTCAATAAATTGGCTTTACGGAAGCGGACGTACTTTTTTCAATTGGTGGAGGCTGAACCCAATCAGCAGTTGGTGGGAATGCGGTGTGGGGATGGTCTGTCTATAGGACCATTGGTTGACTGGGGGATGACCCCGGAGCAACAGCTATTGGGTGTGAAACTAGATTCCCAGAATTGTTAATCCACAAACCTATCCAATTATAGGTTGAATCCAGCCAATCGCCTTTTGCAAGCAGCTGGTTCAGCATTTCCCCACCGACACCCAGGAGAGATCCGACATGGAGACGGTGTTCCACGCCCTGGACGACGATGCTTCGGGTGAGCTGGACTATGTAGAGTTCTGCCATCAGCTGGGGAGCTGCAAGAGAAGAGATCCGTTGATGCTCACAGCCCTCACCAGGTACAATGTTACTTGGAGAAGTTCGGAAGGCCGAAGGTCCGACCGGATTGTGGCGTTGATGAGTTGTTTTGGTGATTTTTTGACAAATGATGGATTTTCCCTTGTCAATTCAGCCCAAATGACTTTTGTTTTTTGGGAAAATGTTTTGTTTTTGGGGCCATCTAAAGCAATTCCTAGGTGATGGAAGTGAAAACCCTGATTCAGGGTGAGGTCTCTAAGGCAGCGTGGAGTCGGTGGTCTTTTTTCACCGTGGCTGGATTTTGTTGCGACAAAATGCCACGGACGAAAGCCATTGTATAATCTTGTATAAATTGTATACATACGGGCATAAGTCAAAACCATTCAAATCCTGTGCTAAAATTGAGGGAATGAATTGAATGAACATCCATTTTAACCCAGCTATTTTGATGTTTATATTTGTAACTTGCCCGTTGGTTTGTCGCAACTGCTGTTTGTGCAGATGCACTTATATAGTCACTAGGACCGAATATCTTTGATTGGACCAAGTGGTATTATCGTGAGGATTGCTTCTATGCTTTGAGGTGCACATGTGTGCACTTTTAACTTTCTTCAGCAAGGATCAGATGGCAAAGCACCAGTTATATCTGTATACATATACAGTATATGATATATCATATATATGTTTGTATTTACAGGTAAATAAATATTTTTTTATTTTTATTTTTTTAATACACTGGAAATGCAACCTCAGACATTTGACATCATCTGATATGCCCACTGGGCCAGGTCATTGTGGTCAGTGATACTGCCACCAAATTTGCAGCCCATTGGCTCTCCATGAGCAGCAAATCCCTCACGCATTTGGATGGTAAAAGCCTTTGGGTTTCCTGTCGATCAAGGAAATCACTGCACTTCTCCATTGAAACACCCAGACTTTGTGGTTAAATGGGTCATAATCATATAAATCGTTGATAGGTATTATTAGTTAATTATGTTATCCATTGGTTCAGTGAACCGCAGTTTTGGTGGGTCATTTTTTTTCATCCCATGATACCATCTGCCAGGCTCTAGAGGAGCAGCGTCAGATGCTGGAGGACCAATTGGAGCTTCTGGCGCAGGTGCCGAGTTGTGCCACAAGCGCCAAGGACAGAGCCGGTCAATGTGAAGTTCCGTACCTATTGGGAGATGAAGTTCCCAATTTATAACCGTTTGCCATTCAGTAAACTGGCAGGGCTAGCAGGGCTAGCAGGGCTATGGAAAACGGCCCATCTATACATGGTTTACCTATTGGAAGGAAGTTTAGCAGTCAAACTTCCGACTTGCAGCAACAGTTGTGAGAAGAGTCAGAGAAGAGTCAGAGAAGAGTCAGAGAAGAGTCAGAGAAGAGAGTTAGTAAATATTTTGTCGTTGAAAAACAGTGCGGCACTGTGTCATGGGGGAACATGCCAACAAGTCGTTGGCATCTCACGTATAGACTGATAGATCTTTCATAGAGATGGGTACTCACAGTTTCACTGACATATTACGTATTTGAACAACGTTTATAATGACATGTACACTGTACCGAAGGTCTACTGACTGACAGAAATGCAGGCTTGGCAGACGCGTCAAAAGTCGGTGCACTGCACAAGTGGACTTTCATTCCATGAATGATCGAAGGAAGCTCAGAAGTCAAACTTTCGACAATATGGACAGATGGAAAAGCAGAGGTGGGAAGAGTCAGAGAAGAGAGAGGAAGAAGAAAGAAGATCAGAGAAGAGAAAGAGTCAGAAGAAGGAAGGTATGCGGAAAAGATAGAAAAGTTGCGAAACACTGTGTTTTTACGAAAGCCAGCCGGGAAGCTGGCTAGTTGCTATTTGCGAACGAAGTGAGAATAGGGGGTCTGGGGGGGGGGTAGTTGCCAAACGGGCCAAAAATCGGGAAAATAGGTGGTAAAAATGGCCGGCCGCTAGTATGGTTTGGCAGGGTAATGTACCAGGCGGCAAAACAGTGACGGTGGGTATCGATTCCCCCTAGGTCCGGTTTTCTGGGGGTTTCTGGGCTCAGTCAATGGACAGATAGCTGGGCCAGCTAGTTAGAGGAGATTGGAGAGAGAGGACATTGGGTGAAAAGTATGTGCAAGAAGGGTTTCTGGGTGAAGAGTCTCTGGGTGAAAAGTATACGGGTGAAAAGTCTGTGCAAGAAGAGTTTCTGGGTGAAGAGTCTCTGGGTGAAAAGTCTGTGCAAGAAGAGTTTCTGGGTGAAGAGTCTCTGGGTGAAAAGTATATGGGTGAAAAGTATCTGCAAGAAGAGGTTCTGGGTGAAGAGTCTCTGGATGAAAAGTCAATTGGCGAAAAGTATGTGCAAGAAGAGCCTCTGGTTGAAAAGAATCTCTGGGTGAAAAGTATGTGCAAGAAGGTTTTCTGGGTGAAGAGTCTCTGGGTGAAAAGTATATGGGTGAAAAGTATGTGCAAGAAGAGTTTCTGGGTGAAGAGTCTCTGGGTGAAAAGTATATGGGTGAAAAGTATGTGCAAGAAGAGTTTCTGGGTGAAGAGTCTCTGGGTGAAAAGTATTTGGGTGAAAAGTATGTGCAAGAAGAGTTTCTGGGTGAAGAGTCTCTGGGTGAAAAGTATATTGGTGAAAAGTATGTGAAAGAAGAGTTTCTGGGTGAAAAGTATGTGCAAGAAGAGTTTCTGGGTGAAGAGTCTGAGTGAAACGTATATGGGTGAACAGTCTGTGCAAGAAGAGTTTCTGGGTGAAGATTTCTGGGTGAAAAGTATGTGCAAGAAAGTTTCTGGGTGAAGAGTCTCTGGGTGAAAAGTATATGAGTGAAAAGTATGTGCCAGAAGAGTTTCTGGGTGAAGAGTCTCTTTGTTAAAAGTATATGGGTGAAAAGTATGTGCAAGAAGAGTTTCTGGGTGAAGAGTCTCGGGGTGAAAAGAATATGGGTGAAAAGTATGTGCAAGAAGAGTTTCTGGGTAAAGAGTCGCTGGGTGAAGAGTCTGTGCAAGAAGAGTTTCTGGGTGAAGAGTCTCTGGGTGAAAAGTATCTGGATGAAACATATGTGCAAGAAGAGTTTCTGGGTGAAGAGTCTCGGGGTGAAAAGTATATGGGTGAAAAGTATGTGCAAGAAGAGTTTCTGGGTGAAGAGTCTCGGGGTGAAAAGTATATGGGTGAAAAGTATGTGCAAGAAGAGTTTCTGGGTGAAGAGTCTCTGGGTGAAAAGTACATTGGTGAACAGTATGTGCAAGAAGAGTCTCTGGGTGAAGAGTCTCTGGGTGAAAAGTATATGGTTGAAAAGTATATGGATGAAAAGCGTTCAAGAAGAGTTTCTAGGTAAAGAGTCTCTGGGTGAAAGGGGTATTGGTGAAAAGTATGTGCAAGAAGAGTTTCTGGGTGAAGAGTCTCTGGGTGAAAAGAATATGAGTGAAAAGTATGTGCAACAAGAGTTTCTGGGTGAAGAGTCTCTGAGTAAAAAGTATATGGGTGAAAAGGATTTGTAAGAAGAGTTTCTGGGTGAAGAGTCTCTGGGTGAAAAGTATTTGGGTGAAAAGTATGTGCCAGAAGAGTTTCTGGGTGAAATGTTTGTGCAATAAGAGTTTCTGGGTGAAGAGTCTCTGGGTGCAAATTATATGGGTGAAAAGTATGTGCAAGAAGAGTTTCTGGGTGAAGAGTCTGGGTGAAAAGTATATGGGTGAAAAATTAGTGCAAGAAGAGTTTCTGTGTGAAGAGTCTCTGGGTGAAAAGTAATTGGTGAAAAGTATGTGCAAGAAGAGTTTCTGGGTGAAGAGTCTCTGGGTGAAAAGTATATGGTTGAAAAGTCTGTGCAAGAAGAGTTTCTGGGTGAAGAGTCTCTGGGTGAAAAGTATATTTGTGAAAAGTATGTGCAAGAAGAGTTTCTGGGTGAAGAGTCTCTGGGTGTAAAGTATATTGGGGAAAAGTATGTGCAAGAAGAGTTTCTGGATGAAGAGTCTCTGGATGAAAAGTATCTGGATGAAAAGTATATGGGTGAAAAGTATGTGCAAGAAGAGTTTCTGGGTGAAGAGTCTCTGGGTGAAAAAATATGTGCAAGAAAAGTTTCTAGGTGAAGAGTCTCTGGGTGAAAAGTATATTGGTGAAAAGTATGTGCAAGAAGAGTTTCTGGGTGAAGAGTCTCTGGGTGAAAAGTATATGGGTGAAAAGTATGTGCAAGAAGAGTCTCTGGGTGAAGGAGTCTCTGGGGTTGACAAAGTAGGATTGGTGAAATGTTTGTTGGGCAAGAAGACTTTCTGGGTGAAGAGTCTATGGGTGAAAAGTATATGGGGGAAAAGTGTGCAAGAAGAGTTTCTGGGTGAAGACTTTCTGGGTGACAAGTCTCTGGGTGAAAAGTATGTGCAAGAAGAGTTTCTGGTGAAGAGTCTCTGGGTGAAAAGTATGTGCAAGAAGAGTTTCTGGGTGAAGAGTCTCTGGGTGAAAAGTATATGGTTGAAAAGTCTGTGCAAGAAGAGTTTCTGGGTGAAGAGTCTCTGGGTGAAAAGTATATGGGTGAAAAGTATATGCAAGAAGAGTTTCTGGGTGAAGAGTCTATGGATCAAAACTATATTGGTGAAAAGCATGTGCAAGAAGAGTTTCTGGGTGAAAAGTCTGTGCAATAAGAGTTTCTGGGTGAAGAGTCTCTGGGTGAAAAGTATATGATAATCTGGGTGAAAAGTATGTGCAATAAGAGTTTCTGGGTGAAGAGTCTCTGGGTGAAAAGTATATGATAATCTGGGTGAAAAGTATGTGCAAGAAGGGTTTCTGGGTGAAGAGTCTCTGGGTGAAAAGTATTGGGGAACATAGGGATAGATGGGATGTTGGCTTTCGTTCCCCCCTTCTCAGGTTCCAATGATTTGTGGCTCCGGAGGGTCGAGAAGTAGGCTCGCTGAAGCGGGTGCGGCAGAGTGCTGCTGCAAGGTGCTGCTGTCAGAGTGCTGTTTGCGCTTTTGGGCCTGGGTGCTGGTGCCGCTGCTGGGTGGCGCTGCAAGGTGCGCTTTGTTCCAATGATTCCGCTCTAGAAAAAGTATTTGAGTGCTGCCCGCGAATAGCTTTTGCTATCCGGGGTCTCTGCTGGAATAATTTTGAGGAAGTCTCGCAGAATTGCTTCGGTTTGGGCCTGGTCGCATACTTGCTTCCTTTCGGAGAGATAGATAGACAGATAGATAGATGGATGGATAGATCGATAGACAGCTAGACAGATAGACAGATAGACAGACAGGCAGACAGACAGACAGACACAGACAGACAGACAGACAGACAGATAGAGGTAGATAGATAGATAGATAGATAGATAGAGAGAGAGAGATTAGATTAGATTAGATTAGATTAGATTAGATTAGATAGATAGATAGATTGATAGATAGATAGATAAATAGAGAGAGAGAGAGGGAGATAGATAGATAGATAAATAGATAGATAGATAGGTAGGTAGGTAGGTAGATAGATAGATTGGTAGATATAATATATATATAAGATAGATAGATATATACGATACACAGATTCAAACGATAGACACACACATATATATAAGACATATAAATAAATATATATATATATATAAGACACACACATATATATATATAAGACATATATATATATATATAACACACACATATATATATGTATATATAACACACACACACACATATATATATAATATATATAAGACACACACATATATATATATATGTAAAATAAGATGGATGAATATATAAGAAACTATATATATAATATGGATGGATGGATGGATGGATGGATGGATGGATGGATGGATGGATGGATGGATGGATGGATGGATGGACTGATCGATGGATGGATGAATGGATGGACTGATCGATGGATGGATGGATGGATGGATGGATGGATGGATGGATGGATGGATGGATGGATGGATGGATGGATGGATGGATGGATGGATGGATGGACTGATCGATGGATGGATGAATGGATGGACTGATCGATGGATGGATGGATGGATGGATGGATGGATGGATGGATAGATTCAGAGGCTGACAGATTGAGAGAGGGAGATAGAGAGAGATAGAGAGAGATGAAAAGAAAGAGACTGAGATAGATAGTCGGAGAGATAGACAAACAGATTGACAGGCAGACAGATAGATAAAAACAGAAAGAGATGGGGAGAGAGAGAGAGAGAGAGACTCAGAGTCTCAGCCATCTTTCGGTCCATCAGTGGGTTTGCTCTGCCATCTCATGCATCACAACCATTCACCTCTCCGATAGGTTTCCTATCTTTGAAACTTCCGCCATTGCCTTGTGCGGTACTGCTGGTAAACATGGTGATTTCCATAGCTATGAATAGCTATGTTATTTTCAGAGGTTAAATTCCCATTCAACCCTCATTAAACCCAAGAAAATCACCAAATCTAACTGGATTTTCCATGGCGTGCTCACTTTCAGCCAGGAACTCCAGCGGAAACGTTTGGAAAAAGTCAACCCACACGTCGCCAAAGCGGCCGCAGCTGAAAGTTGCATGATGCTGCAAGTCATCAGCTTGGGGGAAAGCCCGGGTAGATGGGAATTTTCAAAACAAGGAATAATGGGGATGGAATGGGGATAATCATGGGGAAACTGAAAACATGTATCATTCTAACACATGATGTTTGGATGACCAAAACCACACTTCTCAAGACTTCAAGAAGGTGAAGTCCGCTTGAAAACCTTCATTTCCAGCAGTTTCACCAAATCATATCCCCCAATTTGTCCCCATCACGTCACTACCATTGCCAGTTTTGCATGCCCATTTCATGTTGGTAGTATCGTATCCCGTCTTCTCCCTATCCAATGGGTGGTTGTGCATACATAATGTATGCAGAATATATCCACATACCAGACCATTCAAAGTCGCCTGTTTGTCCACTTTTTTGAGGTAAGTGAGCCCAAAATAGTAATCGTGAACTTTCAAGTACAAATATATATATATATATATACACATGTATGATATTATATATATATAGGATTATTACTATATATGTACATATTTATGTATATGAGAAACTTCCATTTTTTGATGGCAACATATCCCCGCAGTTTCAGCGCCCTGCTGAGGTGAGGCTCTAGTTTATCCTCTGGGAAAAAGTGGTTCCTTTTCGGCTGAGACACGTGCTGTGCCGAAACTGCAGACGACCCAGGTGAGTTGGTTGGCAGGGGGAGTCCCATTTTCTTTGGAATTTGATGATTATAAACACATTGACATTTAGTTAAATGTAGAATTAATGTATAATCAATATACAGATTCAAAAATATACATATACATATATACATATTTCTATGTATATATAAATATACATATGTATATATATATGTACGTATCTATATATATATACACATATGTACATGTATATATATATATGTACATATATATGTATATATATATGTATATACATGTATATATATGTATATATATATATATGTATATATATATATATATGTATATATATATATGTATATATGTATATATGTATGTATATATGTATATATGTAAATATATATATATATATGTATATGTATATATATGTATATATGTATTTATGTATATATGTATATATGTAAATATGTATATATGTAAATATGTATATATGTATATATGTATATATACGTATATATGTATATATGTACATGTAAATGTATATATGTATAAGTATATATGTATTATTATATATATGTATATATATATATATATGTACATGTATATATGTATGTATATATGCATGTATATATATATATATGAATATACATATATATATATATACATATGTATATATGTATATATGTATATATGTCTATATGTATACATGTAAAAATAGTTATATATGTAAATATATGTATATATGTATATACGTACATATGTATATACATATATATACACGTATATATATACACGTATATATATATATATATACACATATATATATATATGTATACATGTTTACATATATATATACATGTATATATGTAAATATGTATATATATGAGTATATATATATACATGTATATATGTAAATATATATATATATGAGTATATATATATGAGTATATATATATGAGTATATATATATATGTATATATATATGTAATATATATGTATATATATATATGTAAATATGTAAATTCGTGTCTATGTTGCACAGTATGTATATAACTAAATCAATCTATCCCTTTGAGGATCCATTTTTCAGGCGAAGCAGTTGCGCGCCACCTTGCGAGAGCAGGGCCACCTTGCGCCGACTGAGAAAGCGCACCTCACCCGGCAGAGATCCGGATCTTTCGGGCTTCTCTTGGAGTCGCTGACAGAGAACTGCCGCTTGGTGGGAACGAAAGGAGGTGGAGGATGCCACAGTATATCTTATATATTCTCTCTATATAATACACACATACCATGCATGTATTATCTACCTACCCCATATATATATACACATACACACATACATATACATATGTATATATGTATATAATATAGACACATGGTTAAAATACAGGCGGGGTTTTAAGGGTGCAATGGCCTTCGAGTTTTTTTGGTGGATGTGAAGCAGTTTGGCACAGCATTTCATCCTCACCCAGGCAAAGTCTACCAGGACATGCAGAATCAGCTCGAGTCGCTGATGGCAAGTGCCGAGAGACTCAAAGCCGACATAGCCCAAGACCGCTCCGAAGGCGCTGAAAATGAAAGATCAGAGCACCAAGTCCAGGGATCGAGTCCAGACTTTGACCGAAGATTTGAACAGCTCTTGAGAAAGTTTCTTGTTGGATCTTGTTCCTTATTCTTTTATCTTTCATATATTTTATATTGGTCTATCTATACTCTTGATTTTTGCCTGGGACGATGATCCCAAATTGATTCTTGGCCTTTGTCAGCCTAGGTTCTACCATCGCACCCAGAGGGAGGAAGTGTTGCAGGCCAAGTTTCGAAAACTCATTGAGTCCATCTCACTGTCATTGGGACGGGAGTCCAAACAGGAGGCCCGTTTTTTTGGGACAAACTCCCACGGAATTTTGGGCGAAAAAAATCCACATTTTTTTTGGTTCCCAAGAAAGACCATTTTGGTCGATTTGTAGCCTTGTTTGCCCAGTTTGAAACCCTGAGGTGGTGCAGAATGAATTATGACAGCCTTGCTTGTTCTGAAAGGGGCGACTGCTTGAAGACTCACCGATGGGGATCAGTTTCTTGTAGCAAATGATCCAGTCGATGATCCCATAAGTATTGACCCAGGTTAACGCCAAAGGCACCTGTCAAAGACACCTGCCTCAGTTCCAGCTCTTCACACCACGAAGGAGTCGCGTTGATGAAAAAAAACACTCGAGCAAGAGAAGCTGGGAAGTAGGCCTGTAAGTAGCCACTGCCAAGGAACCTTAATAGAAATTTGAATACATGTATGTATATTTGTGGAGTATATATTAATTTGATTCAGAACTGGCTTTTTCTTTTCCTATGACTTGCCGAGTTACATTTACCAAATAATTCCCATAAGTTCCTCTATTACAAATCCAGCAGATCGTTTCTCCTTTGCAGCCATCTGACCCGAAGAAGTTGGGTAGCGCGACTGCTTCAAGCATGGGCATGGAGCGCATGCAGCGCAGAGGCTCAAAGCTGAGCATGACCAGCGAAATCAGCAGGCACCCGGAATCACGTCCAAAGCCATTGGGGACGGGCCTGGCCTCCAGAAACCATGAGAAACCACGGATCAGATGATCAGATGGGTGTTTAGCCATCACAGCTTGCTTACTGGTGGTGCAAAATGGTGTTTTGTACACACTGAGCTAATAGGGATTACTCATCTCCGTTGGGTGACGGTTTCAAGTTCAAGGCTGAACAAAAAAAAAGCTCGGGGGATTCATGTAGGAAGTACTTGCGGTTTCTGTTCGTTTCTCTGGAATGCTTTTCATCCAAGTTGGTTCATTGGTTTGTAAAAAGGGTAATTCAGATTCAATTGTCACCTAGTGTCACCCATACCGCGAGAAAAATGAGCTAACCCAGGTTTTAAGGCCTGCCCCGTTTGACCCCCCATGCTTCTAGAGATTAACCCAGCTTTGCAACCCAACAGCAGTGAGGATTCCTAATTCAAGGTGGGAAGGGTCTCGAGTAGCGTCCATATTCGGGCGACAGACACAGAGGGAGACACAGTGGCCAACAAAGTTTCAGACAAAGCGAGCGACAAAATGGGAGACACAGTTGGAGATACAGTGGGAGACAAAGTGGGGGACAAAGTTGGAGACAAAGTAGGCGACAAAGTAGCAGACACAAGGGGGAACAGGAGGGGAGAAACACAGTGGGAGACAGAATGGGAGACAAGGTAGGAGAAAAGGTTCCAAGGTTTTCGGAACCATGCGCATAGCTTGAAGGAGAGGATCGAAGTGGTGATACCGCCCCCCACCTTCTAGAGATTCACACTCAAGAGCTTTCGGCTGTTGTTTTTTTTTTTCTCTCTCTCTCTATATATATGTATCTATTTATATATATATAGATATGTGTTTATGTGTATATATATATATATGTATGTATATTTTTTCATATGTGTATATATATATATACATATTATGTCCCATGAGTGGATGCTAAATATGGTTACAAAGCCAGTTACAGTTCCGCTACCCAAGTTGGCTCCAGGCTGTCAGGGAAGATCGGATGTCTAAGGGCGATTTCTGAGCAGATGAACAAGTGGAAAGGAACTCGAACCACCGCCAATGAGAACGAGGATGAGAACGTGGAAGAAGGGAAGGAGACGGATCTGGGGCAGACAGGAGGCTTGCTGCTTGGAAAGGTAATAAAAAGAGCAAACAGGCGTTTTGAACAGTAGATTAAGAATTCCGGGGTAGAGACATGAACGGTACCAGAAATGCGGATGGATCAATGCCTTCTTTTGGGCAGAACATCCAGCTCAAATTTACTGCAGGAGCACCTGAAGCGAGCGCTGGAAAGGATTGAGAAGGACGGCTCTAAATAAGTTGCTGCTGCCCTGGAGCAAGTCTTGGAAACTGCTGGAAGTGTTGGGTTTTGTTGATTGTCACCGGAGTGATGAAGACGAGCCATATGGATGGCAGGTGCAGCAGAGATTAAATGCGACTTGCTCGAAACAATGTCATTCCATTTCATTTCATTCCATTACATACATACATATAAACACACACGCATCATTCAATATCCCAAGGGTTGCAGACCCTGCGCCGGAGGACTCCATGCGCTACAAGAACAGCAGTGTGAAGCCTTGGCTGGACCGCAACGGGCGGGTGATTTGGCCATACTCACGGATTGCCATGGCCAAGATCGTGCGAAGCCAAAGCTTCGAGACCTTCATGGGCATTGTGATCATGTTGAACATCCTGTGGCTTGATGTTGCCAAAGTTTTGGGGACAAAAAACTGATCGTTTGACATCGATTATGCATATTTATTCATCAGTTCCGGATGGACATCCAGGGTTTCAGGGGAGATATCCATGAGGAGCCTGAAGGTAGGAACCAGGTCCGGCCAGCTTAGTTAAGACATCATCCGGCTTGCCCAGAGTTTAGACCGATGTTGGTCGGAGTTGCATACAACCCTAAGCCACGGTTTCAAGCATTCGTGGCATCAAATACCAAGCCATCCAATTTCATCCAAGTTTAAGAGTACGTAAGGTTTCCCTAGAGAAAGCGGACCCTGTCAACAAAAAAAGGGGACGCTTGTCTTGACCGAGGTTGATGATTTTCGAGACAGATGCTGATGCGAGTTGCTACCCAGAGTATGCAGACAACGTGAGTGCCTGCCCAGGGCGCAGCAGTGAAGTTCTATGGATCAAGGCCATACTGTGGGCCACACTGTTACGCTTTTCTGCATCCCATCCCTGGCTGTTTGGATCAACCCTCCTTCCCATTCATAGCCCCAGATGGTTTCCCAAATGGTACTCATTCCCCAATTGTTTTGGTGCACTTCCCGAAAGTGTTTTGGTGAAGCCTTGTCGATCCGATCACCAAAAAACCACAGTTGGATGATTGGATGATCCTGGGGCGACTCTATCACTACTGTATCGCAGTCTCCTGGAGATATTTTGTGGGTCACCCATTGGACCAACTGGATTATACTCTATCTCCAACACATGGATTACATGGTCATTGGGGATGGGGGATGGTACTGAATCTTGCTATAAGAAACAACTTGATCATAGGTGATAGAGTACAATAGCTGGTAAATTAGGGGACTAAACTCAACTAGACGCATGACCGGGGAACCTAGCAAAAATTGAACACAAAGTCAGTATTTTTATGTATTTTTGAGGGATTTAGCCCCCAAGCCTGGCGTTTCGTTGCTATGATGTTGCAAGTCAGGTGTGTAACATCCTGTTGCAAGTCATGTATACGACCGAATGCTTCATGCGCGCCTTTGTGGAACGTGAGGATTATGTGCCTTGATGGTAAATCCGGGAAGGTGACGGGTAAGAACCTATGGATTCTTGAAGAATAAACATAATCGCTGATTTTAGCTGCTGATTCAGCTGATCTACTATTTTTTTTTGGTTTGCCCAAACCTGGAGAAATTGGGGTTGAAAGGTTTTCCTGATGAATCTGGAGAATCCTGTGGCGAGAAGGGAAACTCTGAAGCGATTCTTAAAAACCGTCGGAAGTTGCAGCTGAGTCGTGGAACATCTGGAATCCAGCCATTCGTGTCTTTTTACCTTGAATTTTACTTGGTAGGATGGTCTAGGCATTAAGTAGTACTATGGCACTATGGCACTGTCGGTTTTCTACAACAATTGGAGGTTAAAAAAAAGGCCCTGGCGACCTGGGCCCCTGCTTTTCGACATCTTGTGCCCAGACGATTTATGCCCCACAGCAGATTTATCCCATTCGAAATGGGGATTTCCATAAACGAGGGTACCCCCAATAGCTTGAAGGTTGAGAATTGATAATGCCCCACAGCAGATTTATCCCATTCGAAATGGGGATTTCCATAAACGAGGGTACCCCAATAGCTTGAAGGTTGATAATAGATAATGCCCCACAGCAGATTTATCCCATTCGAAATGGGATTTCCATAAACGAGGGTACCCCAATAGCTTGAAGGTTGATAATAGATAATGCCCCACAGCAGATTTATCCCATTCGAAATGGGATTTCCATAAACGAGGGTACCCCAATAGCTTGAAGGTTGATAATAGATAATGCCCCACAGCAGATTTATCCCATTCGAAAGGGGATTTCCATAAACGAGGGTACCCCAATAGCTTGAAGGTTGATAATAGATAATGCCCCACAGCAGATTTATCCCATTCGAAATGGGATTTCCATAAACGAGGGTACCCCTATAGCTTGAAGGTTGATAATTGATAATGGAACATCCTTTCATAAGATGGATGATTGATGGGGGTTACCCCCATTTTGGCAAGCCTCCAGGTCTGGAACCGCTGGAACCAACTGGATCTTTTTACAACCATCCCTGGCTGGA